TGTTTATTGCAACATTCAAACAATAAATGTGTTTTTCATCAACTTTTTAACTCCACGTAATTAAGTTCCTTATTTCTCACTGGGAATTAAAGACATTTTTCTTACTAGAGTATGAATTAATTTAATTAAAAGAGTAGTAATGTGACAACATATTGTTTTCACAAAGACACTCATCAGTGCTAAGTATCATCCAAGGTTTAATGATTAAACTGCCATTCTTTCTCTTCTGGGTAATTCGTATCATGGTCAATTTATAGATCGTATTCGCGGCAGGTGCTTGTCTTCATCAATGGCTAGTATCTAATATCAGCTTCAGCTCAAGATATCGTTAAAGTCTCTTAATATATGTTTCTCAACCTTAGCATTAATAATTTGGGGGCTTCAAGTTTAACCGAGGGTCCCCCACGGCCATCTGGGTGTGGCGTAACCTATTTATTCAAAAGAGTTGATGGAGCAGTGCGTTAATTTGCAAGGCAATATTGCATGAAGTTGTGAGCTAGAAGTGAAGATACACAGAACCTTCACCCGATACCTAACCACATTTTCCCTGTGATACCTCTGAAACTGCCTCAGGAATATCGGTCGAGGCACACAGCAAACAATACTCGCTGCGAGCAATGAGTAGAACTAGGTGATAAAACTGTATCCTGAGTATTATGTTGAGATGCGTTTAACACCCGAACTCTGGACATTTTAGGGGACTGTCGAAATATTTAATTTTGCCTGGCAGTAAGCCAGGGTACTTTGCATGATCAAGCGTGATATGTTCAAAGAACTTCCACTGTTCCCACCCCATTTATTCTCCCTAATTCTGCGGTTTTGTAAGCAATTTGGCTAACATGCCCCCATTCCGGTGGGATCGACCTGCCCATAATGTAGTTTGGTCAATTTTCCGACACGAAGGGCCTTTAGAACTACCAAGGTAAAACCATACCGGCAACAGCAAGACTTCCACTATTCGTAAATATTAATATCTCGCTTTTGGTGTAAATGCATCTCAAATAGTTAGTGCCCTTCATAAATACGAACAAGAGTTATAAAAATATCAAGGTAAGCCACACACCAAAAATGAAATAATAACCGAAATGTTCAATAAAGTTCAATTCAAAATCAGCCTCTACCTGTCGATAAAATGTATAAAGGTGGCTTGTGTGGTTCACCTTCTATCGTCATGAAGACCTTAAAATTTCTTTCCTTAATAAAATACCTTTTTGTTTTCATTATTTATGGTCGCATTAAAATCTAGATTAGCGACCCCTATTGTCTTTAATGGTAGGTAACTGTGAAGATGACTCGATATGATGATGATAGGGGGTGAAAGGACGAACACAATACAACCATGCCCGAGGCGGACCTCGAATCCGCGAAACGTTGGTCCGTGATCGCCACGGCACTACTGCCTTAGCGATCCCGGCCATCGGGGCCGGCAAAATACCTTCTTTATAAAACGACATTTTTTTCTTTCTTTCTTTCTGGAGAGTGTTTGACGTGCGCGTGTGTGTACGTGTTGCGCAGGTCAGGGCCGCGTGAACCAGCTGGGCGGCGTGTTCATCAACGGCCGGCCGCTGCCCAACCACATCCGCCTCAAGATCGTGGAGATGGCGGCGGCGGGCGTGCGGCCGTGCGTCATCTCGCGCCAGCTGCGCGTGTCGCACGGCTGCGTCTCCAAGATCCTCAACCGCTACCAGGAGACCGGCTCCATCCGGCCGGGCGTCATCGGCGGCTCCAAGCCGCGCGTCGCCACGCCCGAGGTGGAGGGCCGCATCGAGGACTACCGCAAGGAGAACCCGGGCATCTTCAGCTGGGAGATACGCGACAGGTAGCAGATGGCCCTACGCGCCCTCACTGGGGAGGCCGCGTCCATGGTTCAAAACATCCATGTTCAAAATTAAAGTTTCAAAACATCCATGTTCAAAATTAAAATATCGATGTTTCAAAACATCCATGTTCAAAATTAAAACATAGATGTTAAAACACATCATTCAAACACCATCAGTATTTAAAAATACCTCGTTTAAATACCATTGATGTAAAAAAATATAGTTCAAAAACCATTGATGTTAAAAACATCGTTCAAAAACCATTGATGTTAAAAACATCGTTCAAAAACCATTGATGTTAAAAACATCGTTCAAAAAACATTGATGTTAAAGAAACATCGTTCAAAAACCACTGATGTTAAAAAGCTCGTTCAAAAACCATCGATGTTAAAGAAACACCGTTCAAAAACCATTGATGTTAAAAAACATCGTTCAAAAACCATTGATGTAAAAAAACTCTTTCAAAAACCACTGATGTTTTTAAAATTGATTTAATAGATTAGTCGTAATTTTGGAACGGAAATAAAATTAATTCGATAATAGCACTGATATCTACGAACTTCACGTCCCCGCGAGAAACTAAATCTGAAAGCCTGAGTGCTCAGAGCTTCCTCAGTTCGCATAAAAGGGAACTGGAAGGAGGGGGGACGCCTGCGGACCTACGCCCATGACGCCCCATACGTTCACGCCTCTCGGCGTGATTCGAAGACAGGCGTAGGAAATATCAGGACATCGGGGTCCTCGCTCAGTCAAGAGATGTTCTGTTTGATGATGATCCGTTCCATTCCAACACGTGAGTCAGCAGTTACACTTCAATACTTTTTCTCTTCCAAAAGTGTGATTATTAGACTGTTTTATTTAAATTAAAGAATATTTTACACCACTGTGGAATTCTTATATGCGATAAAAGTTTTCCTAAAAATACACACAAAACGCTTCGTCTGACTCACGAACCAAAATTGTACATCAAATGCCACAATGTTGCGGCGGCGATGGTGTAACGGTTAGCGTACTGGACTGTTGTACCCAAGTTGGCGGGTTCAAACCCGAAGCCGTGGATTTTTAAGGGCGAAAAAAATCCTTCGCACGCCTTCCTTCGGAGGGGAAGTAAAGCCGGCTGTCCCATGTTCGTAGATTTACTTGCATGTAAAAGATCCTCGAGCCTAAATGACGCCTCTAAGCTAAATTCAAATCGCCTGTTTCTCGCCCAAGAAATACCTCCTTTCTCTCCTAGTTGGTGAAAGGAGCGTAGCGAAATTTGCGTGGTCAGACGGAAGAGCGGGCCTGATGGCCCGAGTCTCGCCACGTAAAATAAGGCAAATTCAATTCAATTCAATGTTATAAACCTCGGTCGAACTGCAAGTATGTGTGCCGCGCTGCTGCAAAGTATGTACTGCAAGTATGTGTGCCGCGCGCCAAAATATCTGGCGACCGAAAAAATCACTTGCCCCGAAAGGAAGCCAAGCAGGAACAAGGTTCGAGGGTTCGCGCTCTGATTCGGGGGACAACCTTCGTATTGCGAGCGGCGGCGGCGCAGCGGAGACGGGACCGCTGGCGGGGGCGGGGGCCGAGAAAGGGGCGAAGGCGGGGACGACGGAGGCAAATTGGACGACAGTGCTAGAGATTTTTTCGCAATGAAACATGTTCCAAAATATAACTCTTAAAATAATATTCTTTTAAATAAAAAAAGCTAGTAGTTTTCTCATTAATTAAAGGTCTATTATAAGTTTGTTTCTCAAAAAGAGTTGGGTTTAAACTCGCTGAACTTGGGTATAACAGTCCGATACGTTGGCCGTTACACCATCGCCGCCGCATCAAAGGGGAGATAGGACCGAGGACGGCGGGTTGGTGGGGCGGCAGAAGCAGCGACGACGGCGGGGGCGACCTGAACGGTGACGGCGAAGAAAAGGGTTATTGGGAAAGACGAGAACCGTATTAGAGTAGGGATGAGGGTTTTCACAACAACAGCCTGTTTTAGGTTATTACGTTTTCCCTTCGTTTGGTTTAACTTGTTGGTTATAACCGATCAAAATTTATATTTTTGGATTGCGTTTTTGTTGTAAAAAGTTCGTGTCCATTAAAAAAGTATCTTTACATTGTTGCAGAGCAACTTTGTATTTTACCAGTTTTCGCAACATATTGCATTTAAAACATGAAGCAATAAACAGTAAAATACAATTAGATGGGTAATTTCTTACTTAACACATACGTAGTGTTATCAATTAAGCATATTTCACGTCCGTTTTTCTCCTTTATGAATGTTTTTAAAAATCGGATTTATTTCGGGAAAGAACGAAACGGCCCATGGACCATTACAGAAAACAATTTTCAGTTAGAGCCTATAGTTTAATTATATGCATTGACCGCACGGGGGACAGCGAGATCGGTGACAGTGGTAGGGATGAGGGAGGGGCGGGTGCGCGTGTGCCTGTCGGAAGGTATGTGACTGAAGCGCTCAAATATCAAAACAAGACGAACCTCCAGATGCATTCTTCGATGAGAATTCATACTTCATTCAATTTCCTCACAAACCTATATGTTTGTAATCTACACCATTCAGAATGGTACACCTAAATTTCTAAGAATCCCCTGGCAGATACGAGTGATTTTCCAAGCCAATAATCCTTATTTGAAAAATAAAGCTTAATTAACGCTGAAAACAAATTAAATATGAATTAAACACATTTAGCAAATTGCTAACTCACATTCAATTATTCAATTCGAAAAATTTCACTGATTTCACCTAAGCACTAGACAAGTGCTCTCAATTATCATATTTGGCCCGTAAGAGCAAAAATTCTCTTTTATATGTTAAGAATTTCCTCCCCGGGGAAAACGGTGGCTCTTAAATATCTGGAGGGAGGGAGAAAGAGCGCGGACCCCCGAATAACGGGCTCGGCCCTCCGCTCTCAAGAGGGGCGACTTTCTCTAACTGCCCAAAAGAGCGTTTGCGCCCCCAAGAAGGACCTCGTTGCCCATTCAGCACCCTCGTTTCGCCTCCAACGGAACCAACCCAAGGATTTTTTTCCGATTGCATTTACGAAACAGTTAAGAAGGGACGATTTTTGAAAGGTTTGATTACCAACAAACGTTTGACTGCAGTGATATGCGCCATTAACTGAAGAACCCGTTTCCATAAATTGTATAAAATTGTTATAATATATTTTCTTTTAGTATTCTGAAAAATTACAAGTCCCATTGTTCCAGAAGGTATATATCGATCATGTTCGCCACGACACTAAAAATTAAATTTTGAGATTTCTCGTATCCTAAAACTTTTATCATCCTTTACAGTCAAGAAATCTTATTGCTATTAACGAACATACCAGCATTAACAGAGTGTCTATGAGTCATATTTTTGAAAACAGAATCTTCAGTGATTAATCGTATTATTAAAAAAGTATTAGTGAAACCCACTTTTAATATGAACTATTGACTATTGATACGTTGAAGTTCTCTTTCAAAAATTCTTAATAGTTTTAATCATCCAAAACTCAAGTTTGAAAGTTTTTCAGACTTTTGGAAGAAGTTAAAAAAAAGACAAATCACGACATCCTAACAATTCCTATGTGTCAGGGAATTTAAGACATAGGATCCTTGAATTCCAGGAACATAATTCAATTACTAAAGAATAGCAATGAGTATAAAAAATAGCTACACGAAGGAAATAAATTATAATTGTAAATAAAACATTATTTATTTATTTCACATTGTAACAAACTATTGCTGCCACTGAATACAAAACGCTAGTTTTTCCTCAAAAGCCACTATTTTTCTCGTAACCTCTTCATCCATGCCACGTTAGAGTTTATCCTAAAACAGTGCGAATTTCTCAGGATGTTTCATACACCACGTTTTCCGCCACCCGGCATAAACGCCCGCCGGGACGACGACTCTCAATGGGGGGTGGCCGCGGGCTGTGCCCCCGCGCCCGGCCCCCGCCGGCCCCGCCCCCCACGCCGCGTCGCGAGCCTCGCACGGCAACGAGGGGGACGCGGGAAGGGACCTAGTTAATGACACTAGACAAACACTACAAATGAAGGCTATACAGAGTATTCACGTAGGTCGCCGTTAGGGCCCTGATATTGTACTAAAACGCGCGATAAAAAAATAAAGAATGATGAGGATGCTACACATAAAAA